TGTAACACATGTGGGGGCAGGGGTCGTCCCAAACTTTAGAAAAGCTTGATCAATATTTGTTTGTAAAGTAAAATGGTACGACTTTTCAATAAGGTTCTACTTATTAAAACTACTTTAATTAACATGAGTTAACTAACTAACATCAACAAAGATAAATACTGTAATGTTCATGTTAGTGTTGGGGGAAGTTACTTTTAAAAGTAATGCGTTACAATATTGCGTTACTCCCTAATAAAGTAACTAATTACGGTACTTAGTTACTTTTTATGGAAAGTAATGCGTTGTGTTACTTTGTAAATCTGGACAGGGCTTGCTTGTTTGTTTTTTAAATCAAAAAGTTCTATTTTTGGCAAATATAAAAGCCTTTTCACACCAAAAGTGAAATGAATAAGCCTCAGGCTGAAGGTTAAAGTAAATGTACGTCCGTACAGTAGAGTGCAGAAGACAACATTTCAACACTTCAGCAATAAACAAAGACACACAAATGTTTGTCTAGAGTAATTTGTGCTCATTAGTACGCTTGAACTGGATCATCGAAGCTCAGAAGCAAAGACATTGGTTAATAGAATGGGATTAAATACATAAAGCATATTTGTGTGGTTTAACATTTAATTATTGCAGGTTTGCGTCATATTCTGAGTTGCATTATTTTTATTCATTGAGGAATACTGAATCTGTTGTTTGTGTGAGAGTGAGATGAATTAATGCATATTCATATTTATTCTAGAACTACAGTAACGTCTGATTTCTCTCAGCATGGGGACAGGAGAGCTGACAATCAATACATTGGAGAATTAAAAAAAAAAGTAACTTGCGTTACTTATTTGAAAAAGTAACTCCGATATTCTTTTGTAAATTAAAAAGTAATGCGTTACTTTACTAGTTACTTGAAAAAAGTAATCTGATTACGTAACTCGCGTGACTTGTAACACTGGTTAATACATTAACTAATGGTACCTTATTCTAAAGTGTTACCAGTAAAACTTAACAATATTATGAAAGGAATTTACTGTTTGTTGACCCACTAAAGTTTAAATAATTTCTCAACGTTATACAAGTAACTCGTTCTTGCAAAAATAACTTAAAAGGGTAAAAATAACCGAATTGATTTACCCAGTTCTTAAGAGGTTAAATGTCTAGTATTCATGGTCTCCAGAAAGAAGATGTTTGAACGGAGCCGGCTTCACTTTCACTTCTCACCCATCTGCACTCCTTTATTTTATATTCTTATCTAAATATGATTTCCAGTGTTTAATTGCCATTACTTGCTGTGTAGAGGAATATGAGAAAATGTTCCCAAGTTGCATCTCTACTGAACACCAGACTGATCTGGGCAGGTTT